CATCTCCCATGACGCCGTTGCTTTGTGACGTAGATACGCACTATAATATCTTTATTTTGTGAAAAGTATTCTTCTCATCAAGGCATGCTAAATTTTATGAAGCTTCGTGAAAATTGTTTAATGTAAAAGTTGTTCTTCGTGCATGAAAACCGTGGATTCACTGGGCCTAAGGCTCACCCAAAACTCTTTTAAAACTTTTTCACCCAGGTAGCTATTTGAGTGGAAAGAGAAGTGCAATAAAGAGAGATAAGGATTAGCTCCAAATAAGGTTATGTGCAGATCAAGACATTGTTATATAGAGCAAAGTTATGCTCCTCAAGATTGTAATTTAGATGGTGATATATATTGTAAGATTAGATATTTTATATCCCCTACAATGTAAGTGTTTGATCTTGGGATACTAATTTTGTTATATTTAAGTATTCGAAATTTTGGGATATTACATAAAGATAGTGAGACTACAAACCTTAAGATGTGAATTCGACAATCTTAAGATGAAGGAAATAGAGATTATCGAAGCATATTACACTATAATGATTGTGTTACTAAATCAAATGAGATTAAATGGGGAAAGCATTGATGACAGAAGGGTAGTTGAGAAAACACTTCGGAGCCATACCAGAAAGTTTGAGTATGTGGTTGTGGCCATGGAAGAATCCAAATACCTATCAAATTTCTCTTTGGAAACTTTGTTAGGCACTCTTCAATCTCACGAACTGCATATGAGACAAATTGATGCTACTGTGATGGAACATGCTTTCCAAACACAGTCACCTTGGGAGCCAAGCACAAGTGACAAATAGAAGAGCATTGATGTGAGCCAAGAAAAACAAGGATCAGGAGGTTTCAAAGGCAAAGGCAAAGGTAGAAGTAAGCCTCTCACTCAAGTAAAATGTTTTTACTGTGATAAGTTAGGACATACAATCAAGTTTTGTAGAAAAAGGATCGCAGAAGAGAATAAGACATCTAGCACACTCAGAAAAACCTAGAAARGAGGAAGAGTCACTAAGACAAGAGCTAGGTAAGCAAGCAAGAAKGAGAGGCTAGAAAAGGCAGGGGCTCCCCATCTCTAGGAAGATTGTGCCCAGGATCTGGTAATCTAAAGCCTTGCTTCTTCTGGTCGGCTCGTATTAGCCTGTGCTTTATACATAAAGAAGACAACCATAATGATGATTCCATGTTCATGATGCTTAGCATTCAAGAAACAAATTTAAGTGACCTTTGGTACATGGACAGTGGTTGTAGTAATCACATGACAGGAAACAAGGATTTGTTTTTGAACTTAGAAGAATCTGAAAAGAAAGATGTTAGAACAGGAGATGATAAGAAACTTAGTGTTCATGGAAATGGAGAGATTTCAAATTAAAATTAGAGATAAAAATAAGAAAATCTCTAATGTGTTCTATGTTCCAGGCCTTAAGCATAATCTGTTAAGTGTGGGACAACTTATTTTGAAGGGTTATGGGTTGCAATTCAAGAATAGGTGTTGTGAAATTACAAATTCTAGTAACTCATTAATTGGAAGACTCACCATGACTAACAACAAGATGTTTCCTATTAAGTTTGCACAAAAAATGATCTAGTAAAGGGATTACCCTCTGTTACCTCCCTTGATCAAGTTTGTGAAGGTTGTGCTCTTGGAAAACACACTAGGGA